TATGTTTATTGAATCGCTTCGCTCATTCCGCCGGCCCGTACTGTGCCATCGCAGGCGTTTGCCTGCGCGTTCGTGGCCTCTTGGGGCCTCTTGGGGGTCTCCTGGGGGCCTGTTGGGGCCTCTTGGGGCGCTCTTGGGGCCTCCCTGGCCCCTCTCGGGTCGGAGAGCTCGAATTGCGGGTTCGTGGTTTCCCTCGTTGGCCCCATGTGGGGCCGTCGTGGGGCGTTTCGGGGCTCTCTTGGGCGCCTCTTGGGTCGTCTTATGGTCCTCGTGGGCCGTCTTGGGGCCCTTTGGGGGCCCTCTTAGGGGCCTCTTGGGCGATCTTGAGGCGGTCTTGGCGGTCTCTGGGGCTCACTTCGAACGTCGGAAAGCCGAAAGGGCGAGACGGCTAAAAATTGTCAACAACGTATAGGAAAAACCAAAAGTATTGTTTGTCTCCCTGGGGCCTCTTGGGAGGCCTCTTGGAAGCTTCTTGGGCCGTCTTGCAGGCCTCTTGTGCCGTCTTGGGGCCATCTTGGGCGGCTTGGGGCGATCTGTAAGTGTCTCGGGCCCCTTGTGGGCCCCACTTACTCTCGTCGTGGGGCGTTCGTGGGCCTTCTTCTGCGCCTCTTGGGCCCCCTTGGGGCCCTCTTGGGCCGTCTCGAGTCGTCTCGGGGCGGTCTTTGAGGCTTCTTGGGCCCTTGTGGAGAAGGTCGAAAACTTTAACAAATAGAGGGAAAGTCAATGATTTTTGTCTCGTGGGGACCTCTTGGAAGGCCTCTTGGAAGCCTCTTGGGCCGACTTGGCGGCCTGTTGGGCCGTCTTGAGGCCATCTTGGGTTGCTTGGGGCGATTTTGGGGCGTCTCCGACCCCTCTTGGGGCCGACTCGGGGCATTCTTGGGCCCGTGTGGCCGCCTCTTGGGCCGTCTTGGAGCCGTCTTGGGCCATCGTGGTGCCAGCTTGGGAGCCTCTTGGGCCATGTTAGGGCGGTCTTGGAGGCTCCTTGGGCCATTCTTGGAGCGTCGGAAAGCCGAAAAGGCGAGAAGGCCGAAAACCTTCAAAAACCTTTCTGGAAAATCAGTGATTCTTGCCTCTTGGGACGCCTCTTGGAAGCCTCGAGGGGTGTGTTGGGGGCATCGAGGGCCATGTTGAGGCCATCTTGGGCCGCCTTGGGACGCTGTTGGCTTCTGGCCGTAGGACTTGCCACTTATTTGTCGACTCATTGGGCCGCTCCTGGACGGTCCCAGAGGCCCCTGCCACCTATTTGTCGACTTATTGGGCCACTCCTGGACGGTTCCAGAGGCCCCTGCCACCTATTCGTCGACTCATTGGGCCGCTCCTGAACGGTTCCAGAGGCCCCCAGGCCCGCGCACAAGAGATCCCGCATCTTTGGCGGGGAGTTGCCAAAAGTTGCCCAGGACCCCCAGGGGCCGAACTAGAGTATCATTCACTTGTTACTGGAGATCTTCGCACGCCTCTGGCCCGTTGGGCCGGCGAATTCGCGCGTCCCTGAACCCCTTCAATTCGGTGCGTGGCTCTCCACTGCCAGCCCGGGGGGCGGCTGGCAGGGGCCCGTCACGAGCACGCGGGCCGGGCCACCGCGCGCACCGCACACAGCGAGCGAGCGGCAGCCCGCGGGCCCGCGCCCTGCGTGCAGCCGAGAGTAGAGGTAAGTCGGGCCTGTCCCTCTACAGGAGGAATATTTAAAGATAGTCAAAAATAGTCAGGGGACGATGTTCTGACTAGTCTTGAGTATGTTTGAACATGCCTGGGGTATATTTAAGAATATCGTCCAACATCCCCCTGCTGGGACGAGGATATATCCGTTCCAGAGCGCTCCAGAACGCTCTCAGAGCGTTCTGGGGAACGCTCTGAGAAGGCCGCGGCGCCCGAGACACCCTCCAGAGCAGCGGGATCTCAGAGATTCTCGATTTATCCTCACCCGAATTTACCTTCGTCCTGGCTTCGTCTTAGCAGTCAACCCGCACAGAAAGGATGAGAAACTTTCCAAGGGTACCCTTGCATCCTTCCCCTTCCTCCCATCCTTGGCCGCTTTCGCTGGCCCCGCCCCGCTCGCAGAGTGTCGGCATGGCCTTCCAAGGCCCTCGTCAGGGGCGGCCTGACCGACCCCTAGGAAACCATCCCTTTCCATGACCGGAGCGGAGCTCGAACGGCGAGGATGACGTCACGGAAGGGGGTGGTTTATGAGGGGTCGGTTAGGCCGCGCCCGACCTTGCATCCTTCATCGTGCGTCCTTTTTGTGCGGGTTGATTGTATGGAGCCCCGAGACGTGGGCCAACGCAACCGAGGGTCAGCCAGAGCGCCGGATCTTGCAGGATCCTGCAGATCGAGGCAGTGGCTAAATGGGGGGTGACCTGAATGGGGGGTGGAGAATCGGGTCCCACAGGGGCCCTTGTCTCCACCCCCCATTTAGGTCCCTGCAGGGCCTCGCCAGGGCACTCCTCTTCACCCTCCACGTATGTCACCCCCTATGAAACGCCCACCCGAGCAGAGCTAGGGGTGCACTGACCTGGGCTAGCGCGCAGGATCCTGCAGGATCTCGCGAGATCTTACAAAGCCCGACTGGCCCAGCTTCGTATTGACCAGGATAAGTAGATACCCGACGAAAGGACAGGACTCGAAGAACAAAAAAAAACATAAGCAGAAATCGTTGGAGCCCCGCGCAGGTTTCTTTGATCGGTGCTGAACCCCGCTCCCTGGCGCGCGAAGCGTGCTGGGGGCGGCGCTGCCGCTAGGGGGCTCCAGCGCCGATCCAAGAAATTCGCGCGGACCGCAAACAGTCTAGTGAAACTTATTCCCAACCCTCCTGCGTTGTGTACTCGTTTTGAATAGAGCGCTGCGGTCGCACACCTTCCTTTCTCCCTTCCCGCCTCCTTCCTCCTTATCTCTTTTCCGTGCTGTCACCTAGCCATTTTAGAGGGCTGCTGTGGGGGGGTCAGCGGAGTGAGGCACCGCGCGGATTCAGACTAGACCTCGCCATCCTTGAAGGGCTGCGACCTGCGAAACTGTCGCCACTTTCGAGGGCTGCTGGGGGGTCCAGCAGAGTGAGGCACCACCCAGATTCAGATCGGACCTCGCCACCCTTGTGGGGCTGCGATCTGCGAAACTGTCGCCACTTTCGAGGGCTGCTGGGGGGTCCAGCGGAGCGAAGCACCATTCAGATTCAGATTAGACCTCGCCGTCCCTGGGGGGCTGCGATTTGCGAAACTGCCGCCAGCTTAGAGGGCTGCTGGGGGGTCCAGCGGAGTAAGGCACCACGCATAATCAGGTTAGACCTCGCCACCCTTGGGGGGCTGCGATCTGCGAAAGTGTCGCCACTTTAGATGGCTGCTGTGGGGTCCAGCGGAGTGAAGTCTTACGCGGACCACCAGGGGACCTCGCCATCCCTGGGATCCAGCGGAGTGACGCCGTTTTCTGTTATTTGGGGGTTGTTTCGAGTTCTGGGGTCGTCAGGAAGGAAGCAGAGAAGCTGGAGGCGGAGGCGGAGCGAAGATTCGCTCTCTTCTTGCACTAACTATAGGTCTGTGATGTGTTGTTTTCTTGTTCGAACGCCGTGGCGACATGGGGCAGACAGCGCTGCATCTGTAGCGTATTATCCACACAAGCAACACTATTCGGTCTCCTCCCGTCACTTTTGTCTTCGTTTCCTGTCCCTTGCCACCTTCTCTCTGCTGCTGCCGCGCTGACGGTTCGCCCCCCCCCCCCCCCCAACGCGTCCTTCTCTTGCTTGTTCCCGCCCCCATGCCTTCCTCAAGCCTGAGCCCTCGCTCCTCGTCCTTCTGCTGTTGTCCTGTGAATCGTGCCGCGTGGGCGCATCCCATGTAGTTTGCACAACATATGACGGCGCCTGTGCTGTCATTGTCTGGGTCAGTTTGGGCCAACTCCTCTTGCCACTTGATGCAAATATGTTGGGTATTTCACAGGGTAATTTTGCAAAAGGGGGAAAGCGATCGTCGCCAGACGGCCGTCGCCGACTACCGTCGCCGACTACCGTCGCCAGCGATCGTCGTTCGAAAGCCAGTCATCGTTCGAACGGCTGGCTGTCGCGCCCGCTGCGTGGCGCCGACCTTCTCTCTCGGCGGCTAGGCCCGGGGGGAAGTCAGATGGGGCGGGTCTTTTCGGAAAGCCTCCTGACTTCTCAGAAGTGTCCGAGGCCGTCTCCGAATACAGGGTGGGCTTGTCAGAAAAGGTGCGAGGGCTTCTGAGAAGCCCCGCTGCCTCCTGAAAAGCCCTGCCCACCTTCATTTCCCCGTGGGCTCGCCGCCGACACGAGGCCCTGGACGTCGGCGATGCATTGGCGGCGGCGACGTTGTGAAAATCGGGCCCCACGTCGGGCCGTATCGGCGATGCACCAGCGATGCGGCGCGATCTTTCAGTTCCATCTGCTGGGTCCCCGTTTGGGCTCGCCGCCGGTTCCCCCTCGGCTCGAGGGCGCTCCGCGCCCGTAGGACGGCGAGGGCACGCGCACCTCCTTGCGGGGCCGCGTCGCCCGTGTCCGCGTGCCGCGCGCCCGGCTTGGCCCGGCCCCCGCTGCACCAGGCGCGGAGCCAGGGGGAGAGCCAGGCGCCCAGCGACCCCCACTTTACTGCTCCTCCTTTCCTCCTCCTCCTCCTCCTCCTCCGCCTCCTCCTCCTCCTGCTCCTCCTCCTCCTCCTCCTCCTCATCCTCCTCCTCCTCCTCCTCCTCCTCCTCCTCCTCCTGCTCCTCCTTCCATTATTCCTGCTCCTCCTCCTTCCATCCCTCCTCCTCCTCCTCCTCCTCCTCCTCCTCCTCATCATCATCATCCTGTTCCTCCTAACCCTTTTGGCCCAGCCCAACGCTGGGCTTGCCACCGCCGTCTTCAGAGCGGCAGTCGCCGTGGCGGGTCGTTTTGGCGATCATGTTCGAGGGATCTCAGCTCCCACGCTTCCACCCAGTGATCTCCTGCAGGGGCATCTCGTTCAGTGACTGCGATACCACATGGCTGATGGCGGCGACGCTACTACAGGACCTCGTTTGCCATGTTGGTCGAGCGGTGGTTGCGGTCTCAATCTGATTTCGGCATCGCGGTTCGGCATGGCGGTCCCTCATCAGGTCACCACGGGCTGTAAGAGATCACGCAAAACAAACGCCAGGTTGTTTTCCATCAGGTCAGCGTCAGCCTCCTCGTGGCGTATGGGGCGGTCCGCGTTGAGACAAACGAGGAGAGTTAGACGTCAGTTAGCAGTTGGCAGAACTCCAGAAGAGGTTCGTTACATCGGTTGCTGGGGTTGGCGGCATTACTTCTACTGCCAGGACGTGGGGTTGATCTGCCACCTCCTTCGAGTGAACGCGGTAAACAGTTCCAAGTTCTGCGTGACACGATCAAGCAGTTGGGGCAGGCTCGCATCGCCGTTGGCAGGCTTTTTGGCAGAACTCTGAACGTGCAGCTACCGAATGCGCGCAAGCAGCTTTCCAGCCCCAAACCCGAGCTCACGGTGCAACAACACGGGGCGCCGCTTGCAGCGCGTAGAGAGCAATAGTGAGAAGATCACAGTACAGGTCGCTAAGCAGTATGGCGTGCGGGGACAGGCTCTCGAGAAACTTGACAGTCTGTTGGCCCAGCATATGTTGACAAGCTAAGCAAGGAAGTTGAGCTGTTGCGTTAGGGTTTAACCGAGACTGCCTACATCGGTGGCACCTCTTGTGCCGCTGGACGCCGAGGAGCTTGCTGATCATCCAGACGGAAAGCTGGAGCTCGATGACCTTTTCGGGTCCGAGGGCTTCAAGCTGTACAGTGAGGCGCTCGCTCGTAAGCATTCGAAGCAGGAAGGTTTATGACAAAGATGAGTCTGATAATGGTATCGAGATTCCAGAATTCTAGAATGGTCTAGTCAGATCGGAGCCGACCTCCTCGGTGCAGGCGCAGCTGCGGGCGCTGGACGCGGTTACGCAGCAGCACGAGCAGCGACACCAACAGCTGCTTCGTCGGCTGCAGCAGGCACGCGCCCCAGAGTTCGATTTCAATATGGAGCTCGAAGCTTTGTGCTGGCAGGCCCAGAGAATCGGCAAGAAAGTGTCTAATGGGGCAACAACTGCCAGCCTTTTTTTGCCTAGCGTCAGAAAGCGGGCAGCACACTAGTGCTATCAAGATACTGTGGCATGTCGATATCTACGATAGAGCGCGCACGCAGGGCCGGGAATAAGAGAAGGGAGGCCCCAGATTCAAATACCTCCCCCCCCTGGATAAGGGGCGGGCTTCCGAATCTACCCGCCCACCCCCTCCCTTTTCGTCGGCATGTTTTAGCCGAGGGAGCCTTAGCTAAAGGGGAAAAGTTGGAAGCCCCCCCTCCCCCCCTTTTCGGGCCCCCGGGGAAGCCTGGGCGTCCTCCCAAAGATGGGGGGGGGCTTTCGAAGGTACCCCCTTTCCCTCTCTTCTGTTGGCGTTTCCAGCCGGGGGAGCCCTGGGGGAGCCCTGGCTAAAGACAAGGTCTTTGAAGCTACTTCCCCTTCTCATGTTTTTGGAGCCGAGGGTCAGCGTGGCCTTCTCTTCCCAAAGGAGGCATGGCTAGTGGCCATGGTGGGGGTTCGAACCAGGGGCGGGGCCCCCCCCCCTTTCCCCAGAGTTGAGGGGTTCGAACTAGGCCCTTCTCCCCCCATGCGCGTCGACGTCTTCGTCGCCAATCGCCGTCGCCGCCGTCGCCGTCGCATGCGCCGTCATCGTTGCCGTGGTCCTCGTCCTCGTCGTCGTCGTCGTCGTCGTCGTCGCTACTGGTCGCCGCCGTCGCTGGTGCTCTCGCCGTCGCCGTCGCCGTCGCTGTCGCCGCCGTCGCCGCCGCCGTCGTCGTCGTCGTCGTCGCCGTCGCCGTCGTCGTCGTCGTCGTCGTCGTCGTCGCCGTCGTCCGTTGTTGCCCGACGGCGCCACCACTGGCGCCGGCGCTCGCTGTTGTCGGTTGCAGGGGGGGCCCGCCCTGGTTCGAGCCCCTCTCCCTCGCAATGCAAGGGGGGGGGGGGCGCCTGTGCGTTTCGTCGTCGTCGTCGTCGACGTCACCCCCGTCTCCGACGCCTTCGCCGTCACCGTCGCCGTCGTCGTCGCCGACGCCGCCGTCGCCGTCGCCGTCTCCGTCGCCGCCGCCGCCGCCGTCTCTGTCGCTGTATCCGTCGCCGTCGTCGTCGTCGTCGTCGTCGCTGCCCGACGGCGCCGGCGCCAACGTCGTCGTCGTCGTCATCGTCGTCGTAATCGTCGTCGCTGCCCAAGGGCGCCAGCGCCGGCGTTCGCCGTCGTCGGTTGCAAGAGGGGAATCGAGATGGGGTGGGCCCCCCTCCCGGTTCGAACCCCCCCCCGGTTCGAACCCTGCCTCCTGCAGCTCGTGGGGGGGCCTCCCCCCCCCCGGTTCGAGCCCCGCCCCCCCTTGGGGGGATGGGGTCCTTTTCCCGATTCGAACCCGCCCCCCCTTTACATATCAGGGGGGCGACCCCCCCCCGTTTCGAATTGCCCCAAACCATGCCCAGCGTCCTAAGAACGCGCCCTTTCTAGGGTTAGGGTGTAAGGGTGTTGGGGTGTTCGGGTAACGACTTTGGTTCGGGGGTGCGGGTGTCATGGTTCGGGTGATCGGTTGGGGTCGATGGTGGGGTTAACGGTTTAGGGTTAGGCTGCTCGGGTTTGGGTGTTAGGGTTACGGTGTTAAGTTCGCGTTTTAGGGTTCTGATGTTATGGATCGCGCGACATTATGCGGATTCTGGTGTTGAGTTTAGTTGTTTATGGTTTGGGTGTTAGCGTTACGGCGTTTTGATCAGCGTCAAGGTGTTAGGATGATGTTGGTGGTGTCTGGGCGTTGCGGTTAGATTGCATGCGTTGTTGTTTCCCCCCCGCACGGTGGTGGGGTTAGGGGCTAGGGTGAAGGTGTTAGGGGTAGGTCGTTAGGATTAGAGTGTTAGGGTTGGGGGCTCAGGTCTAGGGTTAGGGCGTTGCGCCTAGGGTATCAGGGTTAGGTTTGGGGCGCTAGTGTTAATTAAGCTGTTCGGTTTCGGGGACTCGGGTCAGGGTTAGGCAGGGTTCAGTTGTTAGGCGTCGGGCACGGGTGTTCGGGTCAATGCATGTCAGGGTCAGGGTGGAGGTCTTCGGTTCTTAGGATTAGGGCGTTCGGGGTAACGCAAGGTTGTTAGGGGCAGGTGATGGGTGCTCGGGTTAGGGTAATTGGCTGATGGTGTGAGGTCATGGTTGAGGCGTCACTGTTTAGGCGTTGGCGCTACGATTCAGGATTCGGGAGTTAGGGTGTAAGGCTTGTGGGCATAGGGCTTTGAGATAGGGTGGTGGGATGTCAGGGCGTTGGGTTAGGCTTTTGGATTCGGGCCTCAGGGCCCGGGCCCCGCGGCCCTGAGACGGGGGCGGGGGGGGCTCCCAAGCGCCTTTCTTTTTGCCGGGCGGGGGGGGCCCGAGCTTCCTCGCCTTTCTTCCGCAAAAAAGAGGGAGCGGGGCGGTGGGTTTCTGGCATGGGGGGCTGTGATGGGGGGGAGGGATGGGAAGGAAGCGGCGCGCATCTGGGGCGCGGGGGGAGGGGGGCGAGGGGGGGCCGCTTCCGCTGGGCGGAGGAATGGGGGGGCGGGGGGGTCCCACGGGGGGGCGGGGCAGCTGGCCCCCTCGCGTTCTCCGAAAAGCCGGGGGGGTGGCTTCCGGAGCGCGAAAGGCGGCGGGGGGGGGATCGTTCGGGCTGGGGAGGTCCAAGGCGGGGGGTAACTGAGGGACCCTTCCGCCCTTTGCCCAGGCCCTGCGCTCGCGCCCTCTTCTACCTCCGCAGGGAACTGCCCGGCATTCGCCATCTCCTCCGCGCCCCGACCCCGACGGCGTCGGCTCGCGCGAGCAATGGCGGTAAGTCGTGGATTACGCTGAGAAACAGACTGGCTGCCCCTAGCGCGCTCGCGTTTCCGGCCCAAGGGATTCTCTTCTTGGAAGAAGTGCGGGGAGCCAGACGTGATGGTGCGAGCAGACTGGGATTGCTCGCGTTGGATCCCCCCGCCTTCTGGGGGGCCCGAGTGGGGCGCGGAGGCCGCGGCCAGGTGCCGCGGCGGCTTCTTGTGGCCACGTGGGAGAGGGATCCTTGCGCGCCACAGCCACGCAGGTTCATGTGGACGTTCCCTCTTCGCCCGCCCGGGCCAGTGTCTGCGTCTGACTCAAGTCGGGCACTGGTCAGAGCAAAAGTAAGATATGATTTTAGGGCCTCTGGCAATGTCGTTGAGTTTGAATCGATGCGTCTGCGCGGGGGGCGATTGGAATGGGGGCCGTGCTCTCGTGGGCGCGACTGGTCTCGCGCGTAATCTTGGCGCGGCGACGTCTGTCAGCAGCAGTGTCTGTGCCGGAGCTGCCGACGGCATCAACGGCGATGCCCTCGTTCAGCTCTCGCCGAAGGGCCGCGCCGTCACCCCATGCCAGTCGGCGTGCAGGGCGCGTTCGAATCGTTCCGCCGCGCCCCCCTTCGGCCCCGCCCCTGAGCCATGCAAATGAGTTCTCGCTAGGGACATGGCCGAAGTGGCCGCTCAGGCGGCGCTGGACAGGGTATCGCGCGGGAAGTTCTCAGGAAAGCGCGCGGGGGGGCGTTCGTCGAAGCGTTTGACTTGGAGCTCGAAGATAGGCTAGGGATCCAAGGAAAGGCGCGGGGTCTCGCAGGGAGGGGCATCGCGGCCTTCTGGCCCCCCATTTTTGCGATCTCCAAGAGCGCTAGCACTGAGCTCGCGCATGCTGGATGGCTTTGGCTCGCCCGGCACGTTTCCGAGGCGGTTGAAGTGGCGCCCAGACTGTTGGGCGACGTTCTCGCGCGCGGCGGGGCGCTGGCCCAAGATGCTCAGCTGCAGGCGCAGCTCGTCTTATTTCAACCGCGCCTCGGCGAGGGCGCGGCGACGAGGTCGGGCGCCGCGATCGCCCGGGCAGGGAACTTCGCGCGCCTGTGGCCTCCGCCCCCGCCCGAGGGCCGGGCGCGGAGCGCGCGCCAGTTCTTCGAGCCTCGAGAAGACGACCGCGCCCGCGCTCGGAGGGGGGCCCGCCTAGGCCAAGCAGGATTCCTGGGAGGCATGGTGGAAGGAGATGTTTGCATGGGGCGCCGGGGCCCTTCGTCGTTCATCTGGCGGGGGACATGGGCCACCGCCGCCGAGAACCCACTGGCGACGGGACCGGCCCCTCGGCGGCGGCGCGCTGGAGCGCCATCTTGGCTTGGGCTGGCGCCCGGGCGCGCCGCCGCCCGGGGGCCCGCCTGCCGTTGACGGGTTCTCGGCGGCGGTGGCTTGCGTTTTTCCCTTTCGAGGTTAGCTAGCTCCAAGCAGACGTGGGCCCCCGCTGCAATGCGCGCCCATCCTGACCAATGTCTGTCATATCACGTGCCTTTGTGATGGAGGTAAACTGTCATTGTAATTCTGGCACGCCTCGACCAGGCCACCAAGGGCAGCATCGATGGGCCGAGAGCGCATTCCGAGAGCTAGTGATGCGGACGCGCGCAGCGCCAGCTCGAGATTACTTTCCCCCAACTCCCACTCATCGGACGGGCTTCGCCCCGAGCAGTTGTCGCTCGCGTCGGACGCGGCTCTGGGATGGTGAGGGGCCTAGTACCAGGCCGCGGAGGGCTCAGGGGCACGCCCTACAGAGCTGTTCTGGCGGCCCTCCTGTCAGAGCATCCCATGGAGGCCGAAGACCCGCCCCGTCGCGCGCTGGCCCTGTTCGCGCGCGGGACAGACTCCGTGCGTTGCGCTGGGCTGCTGGGGCCGAAGTTGCAGCCCAGACGAGCCAGACGTCTGTCGGTGCGACTCGGGACGGGTCGAAGTGCCCCGAGAGTTTTCGACATTGCAAGGACAGAGCCCTGGCCCATGGTTTCAGTGGGGTCACAACTAAAACCGCCCAGTTGTTTCCCTACCTAGGCTCTGCCTAGAAGGGTTCTTACTCGGCATGATTAAAGGGCCGGGCAGTGGGGCCCGCCCCGGGCGGTTCCCCCAGTATCCGCCCCGCGGTTCCCCCAGTTACGTCCCTTTAGTTTAGCGTTGCTTATCTCATCTTAGCTTAGCTTATTTCATGCTAGCTTGGCTTAGGTTCCTCTTAGCTCAGGCTTATCTTAGCTAGCTTACCTTCATCTTAGCTTCGCTGAGCTTTAGCACTGCAGAGCACAGCATAACATAGCAGAGCGTAGCACAGCGCAACACAGCATATCATAGCAAGCCCCAGCATAGCGCAGCAAAGCATAGCATAGCATAGCATAGCGCAGCACAGCACAGCACAGCATAGCACCGCGCAGCATAGCATAGCATAGCAGAACATAACATAGCACAGCAGCAAAGCAAAGGCAAAGCAACAGCAGCGACAGCAAAGCACAGCACCAGCAACGCAAAACAACGCACAGCGAAAGCAAAAGCAAAGCAAATGAAACCATACCATCGCATATCATAGCATAGCATAGCAAAGCGCAGCATATCATAGCATAGCATAGCATAGCCTAGCATAACACAGCGGAGCCGAGCGTACCCTAGCATAGCATAGCATAGCATAGCATAGCATAGCATTGCAAAGCATAGCAAATCATACCATAGCATAGCTTAGCAGATCGCAGAGTAGACGGCATGTAGATGCAGGTGTATATGTAAGTGTAGCTGTCGGTGTAGATGTAGATGCTGCTTTCCTAAATGCTCTAACTCCGGTGTAGAGTCGCACTGGGATATATTTTCTTTGCGCGGGCCTCGTTCGTCGCTGCCTCGTCTTGGGGCCCAGGATGGGTTTGCTCAGTTTGTTGTTCTGCTCGCCCTGGGTTGCCCGCTGGTGGCGCGCGTGACGTTTTATGCGCGCGCGTCTACGGCGTCGTTGCCCCTGGCCGCTTCATTCTGGAGCCCCCCGGAGTTGCCTCGTCAATCTACGTTTGGGCGGCGATCGCGCCCTCAGAGAATTCTTTGTCGACGTTAGAGGATTCCGCCAGATGCGACGCGTACTGCCGCGCCCCGCGGAGATGGGCGCATTTTGAACAGTTCGCGCAGACCCATTCAGAGAACGCTTGCGTCGCTGAGACGCGCAGGCAGGCAGATCGCCGCTGCGCCCACTCGTCTGGGAGATCGCAGCTGCGTTGTGCGTCTGGGCAGCGGGGCGCTGGAGACGCCGTGGGGGAGTTCTGGCGAGGTTCGCCCACATGCCCGATGGCTCCAGGGTCTACGCTGACCCGTAGGTTAAGGAGCTTCGGCCCACCTCTCCGGAATTTGCCCCCTCGCGCGTCTTCTTGCAGTGCCGGGGCCAGGGGTTTAGGTTGCGACTGCGATTGCATTCGACCGCTCTGCGAAAGGCCCAGCAGCGCCAGGCTCAGAGTCTGGGCGCGCGAACATCCCGAAGCTGTTCAGGCTTGCGAGGATGCCGCGGGAAACCATCAAGAGTGGCTCACCGAGGCCACCGAGAGCGAGGATCGCTGCTTCTGGGACGCCCAAGTGGAGCCACCCAGGGTTTACACTGGCGCCCCCCCCCCCCCCCAGTGACAACCCTAAAACCATTCAGCATAGCCGCGAACAATCCATGATTCAATGAAGCTGTCTGGAGTTACAGGGGGCTCGATGCTGACATAGACCATAGACGGTCCTTGCTATGGGCACATCATCAAATGCTTTTGGCGAGCTGCGTATGCCCTGGTTTCCCTTTGCGCCTCATGCGTCGCTGTTGCCTGCGCCATAGAAACGTTGTGGGATGCGCTGAAGCAGACTTTGCATTCAGCCGGGCACCAGCTATGGTAATATTGCATCTCTTTGCTTGTCGATTATAGTAGAGACGTATTCTGAATGTGCCACGGTCACCAGATGGCCCAACACTCCCGCTCAGCATCGAGTGTTCAGGAACACACAAATGCTTACATGCGCCGAGGAAGTCTTGCATTATAAGAAGGGTCATGTGTTTCCAGCTTGTCACACCGTTGCCCATAGGTCCCAAGAGGTCATACTTAGTTTCCTTGGGCCAGAACACGAATCGGCATACATACATCGCACGCGGGCTCCTTAGCGTCACAAGCCCTCCACCTCCACTTTCAGTCTCCTGACGCTAGCTGGCAAGATGGCGCTCTTCAGATGGACGAGCTAGTGTTTTGTTCGGCCCGTGCCATGGCCAATGTGTTGTGCGCTTTCACTGTTGAGAAGATTGGTACGCCCCCGGTCGGACTCAGGCTGAATTCCTTCGGCTTCGAGGCTGGCACCATTGGAAGTGTTAGAGGGCGATCGTGCAAGCTAGTTTAGATGTTTCCAGTATTGACGGGAACACTGCGTACGGCTTGTGATAGGCTGTAGAGGTCCCGGCGTCACTTGGCGCGGCGTGCTGGTTTTCAGGACAGGGCACAGGCTGGTCCTCACAGTTGCTCCACGCCGAGATACAGAAGTCAGTCTTCCTTTTCGCACCAGTTGCGGTGCGTACGCGTCGAGGCGTTGCTTGAAATTCGGACAGAAATGTTACGGCAAGAAGCTGCCAGGAGCTAAGACCACCTTGCCCCGCATTTTCGACGGCTTCCACCTCCACCGCAGGAGCGAGGAAAAAATGCGTTTCGTCATTCTCGCGGCGGGGTGGTCATTATGTATGTTGCCACCTGTTGTGCCTGAGTGTTGTCCCGCGTTCAGGCCAGAGCGGTTGCGCGCCAGAGCGCTGTGTTTGGCACAGCCTGACCTGTTAGCCCCCTTGGTCTTGTCTACTGGCTCTTATAAGAGAAATCCTCCTCCTCATCCTCCTCGTCCTCCGCTTTTCGAAGAAAATTCTAGACGCTTCGCGTAATCCCATCAGTCCCCCCCCCTGAGGCCTCGGCCGCGCTTAGTTGTCGCCTCGCCCGTCGCTCTTTTGTTTTTTTTGTTCCCGCGGTTTCTTGCCTTATCCGCCTCGGCCTCTTGCATGCGCACCCTGGCAGTACTGTGCCCCAGTTCTGCTGTTCATTAGTCTGTGGCGCGCCCCGCTTCGACTTGACACGCCGCCAGCGCTTCCGCCCGCGGCCATTGACTTAAAAAAAGTAACCCCATCAGTGCCAGCCCCTCTTTGCAGCGCGTTGCATGCGTGCACCCTGGCAGTGCAGCTCTTCGGCAGTTGCTGTCAGCCCCTTCCCACTCGCCGGCCTGGCCGCTGAGGTACCGCGTGAGGTTTCGGCCCACCGCTTTAGGTTAATTCGTCTATGCGAGCCCCGCTCTGACTGGACTCGCCGCTGGCGCGCTCTCCTGCGGCCGCTGACCAAAAAGTAACCCCATCAGCCTTTAAGCCGTGGCTTGGTTGTTACAACTGTTGGACGGGCACTTCCGATGCGCTCGCGATCGAAAGAGTAACCTCATCAGCCAATCCAGAAACGATGCCCGGAGGAATTGCCACGATCAGGGAAGTGGGCAGCACACAGAGGAAGGGCCCCCCGGTGGTGTCCTCGTGGAGCGTCTGGGGGGCCTCCTGGCGGTCCCGGACGCCTCTTAGAGCGTCTTGGGTGCCTCGGAGAGTTTCTTGGGGCCTCTTGAAGGCCTCTTGGGCGCCTGTTGGGGCCTCCTGGGGCCTACCGGGCGCCTCTTGGGGCCCTTTTGAAGCGCTCTCGGGAGCCTTGGGAGCGCGCTTGGAGCCCTCGTGGGTCATCTTGAGGCCTCGGCGAGACAACCAAACACATAAATTCTCCGGCGGTGTTGGAAGGATGTGGGCCTCTTATGGGCCTGGGGGAGCTCTTTGGCCACTTGGAGCCGTCTTTGAGCGGTCTTGGGGCCTCTTGGAGCATCGCGGGAGCCATCTTAACTTGAGATATATTGAGCCATCTTGGAGGTCATCTTGGGCTGTCCCAGGCGCTTTGGGAGTCATCTGAAGCATTGCCCCCCCCCCCCCCCCAGGAGGCCGAAATGTGGGTTTTTTGGGTGTCTCTTGGGAGCCTTTTGGGGGCATCCTAGGGGCCTCTTGGGGGCCTCTTGGGTGGGGCCATCTCGGAGTGGATTGATCAAAGAAGGGTGGTCCCTTAATTAGCCTCGTCCCCCCAAGACGCCAAAATGAGGCCAAAACTCCTTTTGTAAAACCAGTGATTTTGGCTTCCTCGCCGGAGCCTTGTGGACGTTCCGACACCTCGCGGCCCCCCCCGTCCAAGTCCAGGGGAGGGGGTCGGGGGAGGGGTAAACCCCATCCCCGAAGGGGAAGAATGGGGGTTGGAAGTGGAGCCGCCCTAAACCACCTACGTCCAGAGGGCTGGTGGGACTAGCGGCATACACAAGAGCTCTCGACGCTCCGCGCAAATGTCTTGCAAATTTCTTGGATCGGCGCTGGGGCCCCCTTGGCGGTGGCGGCCTTTGGCGCCGCCCCGGGCGCGCTCCGTGCGCCAGGGAGGGGGGTCAGGAAATCCGCGCGGACCCTCGAAAGCGCATGCTTATGACTTGTTGTTGCTCTATCCTCCTCGTCATCATTCCTCCTTACTCTTCCTCCTTACTATCGTCTATCCTCATACTCTTCCTCTATCCTCCTTACTCTTCCTCTATCGTCCTTACTGTTCCTCCTTACTCTTCCTCTATCCTCCCCGTCCTCCATCCTCATAATCAATGTTGTTGCTGTTGTTGTGGTTGTGGTTGTTGTGGTTGTTGTTGTTGTTGAAGATTATTACTTCTAAAGAATAATTATTGTTGGGACCCCTGGTGCACGACCCCCCCGCCGCGCCTAGGCCGCAGCCTCATTTTCATCATTTTCGTGAGGAAGTCTCAGGCAAAACGGGTTGGTCCGGATCCGGTTGTGTTGTTACGATCGGTTTTCCCTTGCAAAAAATAAGCTAAAGTGGACATTTCTTGTTCTAACATAACCAAACTTCAAGAATCCCTTGCAAAAAATAAGGTAAAGTGGACATTCGCGCGCGCAAGACGAAATCCTTCCAAAACCTTAGTTTTCGTAGCGATTTTAACATAAAAACATCAAAAAACCAATGGTTTTTCAAAAAAAAATGTCAAAATTTCATCCCGCGCGCTCTTGCGGATTCGTAGGAAACCCAACACTTTTTAATCATTTCTGTCAAACGGGCTTTTGCGAGCAACTTTTTCGAACTTCTGCAACAACGGTTGCGCACCTGCCAGGGCCATCATCCCTGTCAAATAATACCATGCGGGACACATTCGTTTTTTCTTCGCGCGCGCACGCCGTCGTCGTCGGCCGCGGGGCCCTGAATAGTAGCCACGGTCGTCCGCATGCCACGAAGTGAAGTGTCCGAACGTCATAGGGCGGGAAGCTGGGTGTGGGTGGTGGCGAAGAGTCGTTTGGAAATTTGGTAGAGCTTGAACCGGCCCCCCCACAAAGTGGGGGTATTGCCCGCCTCCTATGAAAACCCTGGCACTGGTGAGAACGGAGTGTCCCCACGTGCTAGTAATTGTTGTTGTTGTTGTTGTTGAACATTATTACTTCTAAAGAAATATTATTGTTGAGACCCCTGGTGCGCGACCCCCCTCCAAAACCTAGGCCGCAGCCTCATTTCCTTCATTTTCTAGCGAAAGCTTCAGAAAAGTGGATTGTGTCCGGATCCGGTTGTTTTGTTGTAATCCGTTTTCCCTTGCAAAAAACACTATAAAATGAAAATTCTTGTTCTTACTTGATCAAATTGCAAGAATCCCTTGCAAAAAATAAGGTAAAGTGGACATTCGTGCGCGCAAGACGAAATCCTTCCAAAACCTTAGGTTTCGTAGCGATTTTAACATAAAAACATCAAAAACCCAATGGTTTTTTAAGAAAAAATTGTCAAAATGTCCTTCCGCGCGCGCTGTCCGAATCCCACAAAACCAATGGTTTTTCAACATTTATGTTACATGAGCTCGCGCGAGCTACTTTTTCTTGTTCTAACATAATCAAATTTCAATAATCCCTTGCAAAAAATAAGGTAAAGTGGACATTCGCGCGCGCAAGACGAAATCCTTCCAGAACCTTAGGTTTCGTAACGATTTCAACATAAAAACATCAAAAACCCAATGGTTTTTCAAAAAAAAATGTCCAAATTTCATCCCGCGCGCGCTGTCCGACTCCCACAAAACCAATGGTTTTTCAACATTTATGTTACATGAGCTCGCGCGAGCTACTTTTTCTTGTTCTAACATAATCAAATTTCAATACTCCCTTGCAAAAAAAAGTAAAGTGGACATTCGCGCGCGCAAGACCAACAAAAAACACGACGATCTCAGGAACTTGCCCCAAAAATGTGACCAACTCCGCTCTCTCTGTCTCTCTCTCTGTCTGCTCTCTGTCTCTCTCTCTGTCTGTCTGTGTCATGTATTGTATGTCACAATTGCAGGATGCTGGGCACACGCGCGCCCCGAATAAGTGACCAAGTTCTGTGGGTGTGTACCCCACGCCAGTGTAGTAGCCACGGTCGTCCGCACGCCACGAAGTGAAGTGTCCCAACGTCATAGGGCGGGAAGCTGGGTTTGGGTGGTCGCGAAGAGTCGTTTGGATATTTGGTAGAGCTTGAACTGCCCCCCCACGAAGTGGGGGTATTGTCTCGCGTCGCATGAAAACCCTGGCACTGGTGAGAACACTGAGCGTTCGGGTAAAATGATTGTTGTTGTTGTTGTTGTTGTTGTTGTTGTTGTTGTTGCTGCTGCTGCTGCTGTTGTTGTTGTTGTTGCTCATTCCTCCTTACTCTTCCTCCTCCTCCTCCCCATTCCTCGATGCCGGATCTACGAGCAGTGACCCCCTTCACAACATCAGCTTTCCTGCCGCCTCTAGCTCCTAACTTCTCGCGTCAGCTCGCCGTCTTGCCCCCCGCCCCAATCTTACATCGCGCTCGAACGTGTCTGTTTTAAACGGGCTCGTCCCGAAGTCTTCGGATGCAAGGGCCGATCCTAGTGCCGTGCTAGACAGCAAACTCAGACACGCACCATAGGGTTCGTTCGTTTCGTTCCTGGTCACTCCTCCCCCACTTCCTTCTCTTTGTCTCCCTCCCAGTATACCAGCCCCCGCTATCGCCGATCCATATCTAGGAAGGCGAGCAGGGGCGAGGCTCAATGATCGAAATGCCCACGGACAGAATCTGGGCAAAGACCAGTAGCCGATCTTGCTTAGTTTCAGCAGGACTCGTTTCGCTGTCGGTGTTGCCGCGGACGTTGTCCATTTGGGACAAAGGCCTCTTGCCCGTCAGTGCCCGCTGTCGGTTTTGGACCACCTGTTCTGTTTGGCATCGTCCCCTTTCTTTTCATCCAACCTTCGGCGAGGTCGAGGAGGGGGGTCCCTTGGCATCGCTCGGACGTGTGCATTTTTTCTCGGCGAGGACCATCGAGGGACTGCCTCTGTGGAGGCCCCTGGGCCTCCAGGGACCTCTGGAGAGCTTCCAGGGCGGCTCCCCGGCCCCCCCCTCCTCATTTTCTGGGAAACGGAGAATGACATAAACATCAAAACTCGGAGGCCCGCGCGGATTTCTCGGATCGGCGCTCGGGCCCCCTGGCGGCGCCTCCGGTGCCGCCCCTGGCGCGCTCCGCGCGCCAGGGAGGGGTGTCGAGCGCCGTTCCGAGAAATCCGCGCGGACCTCCGAGTTGTTATGTTTATGTCACTTTTTGTTCCCCTGTCGTTCGCCACACCCCGCCCAGCCACGCGCAGCCTCCCGTCCTGGTTGGCTGCACGATGGCGGCGGAGGGGGACGCCGGCCCGCGGCCGGGCGCGCCAGGCGCCGCACCAGTACGGCGAGGGCGGCCGCACTGGTACAGCGCATATTTTTCAAGGACCGCGCTGCCGCACCCTGCCGCTGCCGCTGCCGGCCCGCAGCCTGCTGCTGCTGCCGCATCGCGAGATCCCCGAGTCTCGATCGGCAGAAGCGTGGTCGGACCACCGTGGAGCTCGAGTTGCACGAAGCCTCAAACGGTTCTGGATCCGTGCGCAATCTAGTCGGCACCTCATCTTGTCCAGGGCGTGCCAGACAGTCTGGATGAACAATATCTGGCCTCCATCAGCATGAACACATGGAACGCCAAAGGCAGGTGCAGACGGCAGTGGAAGAGGCAAGCATTACAATAGGTTCCTAATGCGATTGCAAACATTTTTCCCCAGGTCTCGGGCAGGAAGTCGCTTGCACAAGCCAGCGCTCAAGACAGGAAATCTGCAAGAGCGTCCCTTGGCTAGCGGGGAAGGAGGAGCTCAGGTCTGAGTTTGGCCATCCCAACCTGCTGTGTTTCATACAGCCTGAAACGCTCAAGCAGCCCACTCAAGACGGACAGGTTAGGAGGGTCTGCCCAAGAGAGAGAGAGAGAGGGACAACAAATAGAGAGAGAGAGAGAGAAAGAGAGAGAGCGAGAGAGCGAGAGAGAGACTCCCTTCCCCTCGCTACACCTCCGTCAGGGAAAGATTACATGCTGGGATGTGTTGCGGAGAGACACGTTATTGTGGATGGCCTGTGTGTGAGAGGGAGAAACAGTGTATGTAGGTGTAAGAGGGATGGAATCCTGCCTCCTCCTCCTCCTCTCCTTTAACCTAAGTTTGTACTCAAGAGGCTTACGCCGTTCCGCCGACCCCCTGAGGAAAACAAGTCCACTGGTGAGGCCTCTTGGGTAGCCTCGTGGGGAGCCTTTTGATACCTTCGTTGGGCCTCTTGGGCTTCTTGCGGGGTTCTTTGGCGCCTGCTGGCGGTCTTGGGGTCATCTCGCGACGGAAGGCTCGAAGTGTCAGTTCGAGTTACCCTTCTTGGGCCCCTCCCGTGGCCCTGTTGGAGCTCTCTTTGGCTGTCTTGGGTGTCTTTGGGGCCCTCTTGGGGCAGTCTCGGGCCGTCTTGGAGCCCTCTTCGGGGCTTCTTCGGCCTTCTTGGAGCAAGCTTTGGGGCATCTTGAGCCGCTTTGGACGCCATGAAGACGAACAAAGCGAACCTGTTCAAAATGCATGATTTCCGGACGGATTGGGACGACGTTTGCCCTCTGGGGCCTTTTTGGGAGCTCTCTTGGAGCCTTGTTGGGGCGTCTTGGAGGCAAACGTTGGCAGTCGTGTGGCCATCTTGGTCGATTTCGAGCTCTCCTCCTGCCTCCTCCCCGTGTCGCTCGTGCGGGTGAGGCAAAGCTGCGCAAGGGCGAGAGTGATCCTGTCGTGCTAGGCCCATGCCCCGCCAAAATGAGTCGCGCCCGGTTCGCCAGAGCGTGCGCGGGGTTGTCCAGAGTTTTTCACGCAGTTGTCCCGTGGCGTGCGCAGAGTTGTCCCGCGGTTGTCCTATGGTTGTCCCGCGGTTGTCCCATGGCTTTGCCGTGGTTGTTCCGCGGCTGCCCCATGGTTGTCCCGTGATTGTCCCGTGGTATTCTGTGGTTGTCCCGTGGTTATCCCGCGGTTGTCGCGAGGTTGTCCCGCAATTGTACCGCGCTTGTCCTACGGTTGTTCCGTCATTGTCCCGTGGTTTCTGAAGGTTGCCCTGTGAGATCAGTACATATGTTGAGAGTAATGTTACTTTAAACGGAGAGGGTTAAAGGCGAGATGTAAATCGAGCATGCACCGCTGCCGTGCCTGGCTCAAGCCGGGCCCGGCCGAACATGTGATTGTGCCTCACCGAGGCGCACTACTTGCATCTGAGATCGGAAAAGACCTTTCTATTGAAGATGCCCCTTCTATCCTTTACTCCAGATCCCATGCTTCATCTTGCTCTCTTGCTCATGCGGTATGAGCCAAAGCCTGGGATATGGGAGCGCCTAAGGCGGAACATATATCTTGGCTTACCAGTGCGTTTTCGACTTGGTAGCGGAGCTGGCTACACTCTCGTGTGGCTGGCTCTCGCTCTAATACCCATCATCCACGGCACAACTTGGTGGACTACTACTACGGTGGAATACCATGTTGCGCCGGCTCTGCGAGGAGCGGAGCCAGTCCGCGATCGGGCTAGCGGGGCTACCCGCGAGCTCGAGACGCTCTCTCCTACCTCACTGCGCTACTTCACTCCCGACTTCCACCAGATGCCAATCGGCAACTCGATCGAGAACGTGGTCACTCTGCGGGGCTACCCGCAGCGGGGCCACCTGCATCCCGTGCCGGTCAGGCGCCTTACGGCTACTACGCCCGAGCCTGACAAACCACAGCCTAAACCAATCACCGAAGCCGAGATGCACATGCACTGGATCAAGATAACTATCTTCGGCATTCTATGGGTGATAATGGGATGTGCTGTGGGCTACATGCGGCAGGGGATGGACGACACGCGTACTACCGGCCCTTCTTGGGACCCAGCCGGTACCACGCCCTTTCGCGAGTACGTTCGCGAAGTACATGCATGGATAAACGTGACGAGCGGCAATATGACGCCACCTCAGCAAGCTGCAGCACTACAACGTGGTCTTCAAGGCCTTGCTCGTCGTATCGCCATGCAGGTCCCCTCCCAGATCATCAATGATGGTGTAAATGTCAACGGACAGCCAACGGATGCAGTTACTTATATACTTTATCTATTGAGTACCAGATTTGAAAATCTGGAAGATGAGCGCCAGCTCAACTCTGGCACTGCCCTTATCGATTTTCGCGTCGAAAGGGGCGAGCGAATCGACTCAGTGTTAGCTCGATTCGAGATGGCCCGTGACGAGGCTAACTCTGTTGGATTTGTCATCCCCAACTTTCAGATCCTAACGCTGATCCTTTTCAGAGCGTTAGTCGTTGGCGCGTCACGAGCCCAACACCTGCTGGAGCCCTTCAATCATCAGATGCCCAGAACGCAAGCAGACTATGATAGGCTGCTGACCAGGATGAGGCACTACGGGCATGTTGCCGAGCGTTCTCCTGGCAACATTTCGGGCATCTTCACAGGGCACCACGCACATGCAGGTGTCTACGCCACGACTGCGGGGTCACCCGCTGGTCCTGGCGAGCCAAGTCCCTGGGCTGATTCAGCCGATATGCCCAACGAGGCCACTGCCCTCTTAGGGCAGACCGGCCAGGCATCGGCAGAGGCAGCGGAGGCGAACGCCTGGTCGAACTACACGCCGGGCGCCGCCTACACTGCAAGCCCGCCCTCGGGCACAACCCTCTGGGGCCAAGCGGAGTCATCCGCTCAAGGGTCTCAGCCACCCTCTCCGTTTGAATCTGGCACTGACACAGATACCTCATCTGACGGTGATCACAATGGTATGGTCTCTGCTGGCAATGACTACCCAGCTGATGACACTCACCTTTCTGAACAACAAAGAGGAAGCCGCTTTTATGAATTATCGCAAATCAAAACGCCGTTGGAGGCGCATTATGAAGAAACCGGTCAGAAAAGTGAGACGCGCAGTACGCCGATATTTCAAACGCCATGGAAAGGGTCGTGGCAAAGGGGGTCGCAGACGCCGTATGCATGGTAGGGGTATCACTGCTTTCCTCACGTCCTTAACTGATGTAGTTTTTGAAGAAGTTCTTATCGGAGGCAAAGGTCGGGGTCACAGGCGGACCTCTGGTAAGGGAAAAGGGCGGAGGGGTAACCCTAGGGGCGCTTCTGGCAACACTATGAAGTGTCATACATGCGGTAGTGCAGAGCATTTGCGCGATCAGTGCCCGAAGGGGAAAGGAAAGGGATCCGTACATTTGGCTCAAAACTCTTCTATGGATGACATAGACTACATTGACTACGAGTTTTACGTCAATCCAGAAGCGGCTCCCGCCGCGGGCTCCTCCACGTACTACGTGATGGCCCGCTACGCTGATGCGACCGTAGCCCTGGAAGAGTACGCGGTGACCCTCTTCGACGAGTTCCACGGCTGGGACGAAGTCGACGAGGGCGCGTTCAACGCCTGGTTCGGTCTTCCAGCGGGGCCACCCGCCGACGACGAGATCTCCGAAGCTGAGACCGTCCCGGCGACCGAGGAGGAGCTCGCCGCCGCGCTGGCACCGCAGGTGATCGGCATGCCGCTGCTGCCTGATCTTTCGCGAGCCGGTTCGAAAGCGGGAGACGCTGACGACGAAATGCGGGGCCATCCCGCAGCCTATTCTGACTCTGAAGAGGCCGAAGAGGACTATGAGGACAGGCTCCAAGAGCAGGTCGCAGAAGCGATCCAGCTCCTGAGTGCGCCAGCACATCAGCAGATGACCATGAACGACCTGCTGTCGCGCCCAGGGGCCGCAAGGCTGCGTCCATACCTGGATCCTGATATGTCGGCACCGCAGATGCTGACCGCACTCCAGGCCCTAGCGGGGCCACCCGCTGAAGCGGCGCCAGCTGCAGCAGCGGGGCTACCCGCTTGGTCTATGGACGAGTTCATGCAGGGCTGCGACCAGATGGACCTCAACGACCTCACTATGGAGCAGCTGACCGACATCGGGTACTTCCAAAGCCCGCATCAGTACGTATTCATGGTCCAGGACAGCTCAGAGGACTCGGAGGACAGGCGCAATGCAAAGAAGAACAGACGACCATCGCCACCTCGAGATCCAGAGCACCGTCATGAAGATGAAAGGCTCGTGGAACGTGGCAGTGCGTCAGCGGGGCCAACCCGCAGGAGGAGCCGTTCAGCTCCACGACGCCCTACACATGATGCATCTGGCTACCCGTACAGCACGGAGCACTCCAGAGGTGTATCCGCTCAGTGCGTGCCGGAGTGGTACATCAATTGGTACCCCGGCTACCCGATGGACGTGATCCGCCACTGGTGGTCCAAGGAACACTGCAAACGGGACGAATCTGGCATTATAATACGCACCAAAGGTGGCAAGACTAAAACGCCAGAGGCTTGGGGCCGAAAGGCTAAGAAACAGGAGATCATCAACGATCGCAAGACATACAGGAAACAAGTATGTCAATGCGAGCCTTTCAAAGGTCACATGCGCGGCTGTCCAATGGACCGCCCCTCCAGGAGCCCTCATCACGGTGAGACCCCCTGGAACTGGTCTCATGGAGATGACGCTGGCACCGTCCACGATCCTAACAAGAAGGTCCCTGGAGGAGGAAAGCGCACTACCGAGGCCGATCGCGCCCCTACGACCGAGGAGGTTGCTGACACTGTCAGGGAAAATTGGGAACAGCTTCCTAAAGACCATCGCCTCAAAGAATGGAACCGCCGATTCCATGAAGAGGCGGGGTCACCCGCAGACTCCAGCGGAGGTGCGGGGCCACCCGCGGGCGCGGCGCCAGCCGCTGGGTCCGCGGACGAAGAGTGGATGGCTGTTGCATCTGCTGCCGGATCCGCCGCCGGTACTGAACAGACCGAACTGAACGAAGAATGGGCGGCGGAAGACGGCTCAGAGAATCCATTCCCTGATGGATGCGCCTGCTGGTACTGCAGCTCCTCGGCGCAGAAGTGGTTTTGCACGAGGGTACTTTACCGCCACGAAAATGGCAAGTACAAGCTGGCCATAAAAGGTAGTGCCAACATCGACCAGATGAGGCAGGTCATCCATGATCATGGCCAGCCAGAAGGCCCTCCTAAAGACCCTCCTGGTCCACCACCAGAGGACGACGAAGACATAGAACCACCTCCAGGACCTGCGGTCGACTCCTCGCCTCCACCTTCTCCTGAGAAGAGGTCTCCTTCCAAGAGCCCCGAAGGTTCACAGGGGCGTGCGAAGGCCAGAGGGATCGCCAAGAAGGACGACCCTGAGCCGGGAGAGCCTACCGGCCCGTCCGTGACGGAGAGGAGGAAGGCTTTTGCTGGACCATCAGCCCCGATGCCACCGGCTGCCCAAGGCGACGTCAAGGACGAAGATCGCGACCGGCCTAAGGCAGCCTTCCGAGGTGACTGGACTCCAACTCTGCATCAGCCGCGCCTTGCACCACGACCAGGCTCGGCACGAATGAAAGCACAACCGAAGCCCGAGGCTGGGTTGAGGTCGGTGCGGGCAGAGGCAGCCGCCAAAGGTAAGGAGGACAAGGGCTCTGCGGGGCCACCCGCTGAAGCGGCGCCAGCTGCAGCAGCGGGGACACCCGCAGAAGGCACCCCCTCAGAAGAAGAACGCCGCAAAGCCCTCAAAGAAATCGACAACCGACAGAAACTAGCCGACGATGCGCTGGCTGACCAAGGTCACCCGCACCCTGGTGCGGGGTCATCCGCTGGAGCTGCCTCGGCAGCCGCAGCGGCGCCAGCTGCAGCAGCGGGGCCACCCGCACGTCGGCAACCAGCGTCGTCTGTTCTCAAGAACATCCCTCTGGGAGCCATTGAATATTGGCAAGGCATTGAAGGCAAAGGCCCGAAACGCACCATGAACCCACGAGTCACTCGAGATGATACAGATCGATACGCGGTCATCGATTGCCCCGATCGTCGTAACTTCGAGTGCCGTAACGAATGGGAACGTGAACAACAAGTCGTGGGCAATATGTTGCGGGACAGGCCGCCATTGCGCGTTGCGCAGCACAAGGCAGAGCTCATGAATGTCATGAAGAGGTTCAACACAGATCCGACTCTGCCGCGCGATTGGCAAATGGCCAAGGTGTCAATATGGTTCTCTACAGCCCTACGCCATGGTCCGTATTGGAAAGATGGATTCAGCCGATACTTCGAAAAGATTGACACTTTCGATCCATACGATGGCTGGGTTGTTGTTGACGACTTGCTGGCAAATTGGGCTGGTGACAATCAGTGGAAAGGCTACCAGGACATGCACGATGTGCTTATCAAGGGCAACCCTCACAGCTCATACGTGTATTGGGCGTTGCCGAACTGCTGCGAGATGATCGACAACCATGGCATGCAGAAGGGCAGGCTCCAGATGAAATGCGTCGAGGATAGCATGACGCTACCTCCCAGATTCCGACCAAAGGCACACAGGCCACAATATTTCATCAGAGCCACGAACGGCCATAGCAGCCCAGGCATCCATTGCCCAGAGTCGCTCTATAAGCCCATCACGACATGGATGAAGGAACCAGATGACCCAGTATACTTTATCCACGGGACACAGTGGGAGCATGTTAAGGGCATCCTTGAGAATGGCCTTTCATGCCTCACACAGGACAACCCTAAGGGGCAGGGGGGGCGCCAGTTCGTTCACGGCTGCCCCTACCTCCCGGGTGACCCGAGGATTCAGTCGGGCATCCGTCCTGACTCTGAGGTGCTCATCTTCTGCAGCATCAGCAAGATGTTGTCCAGCGGCTTCTCTTTATGGAGGTCAGCGAATGACATCGTCATGACACGGGGCCACAATGGCCGCATACCGCCCGATCATATCTTTCAGATTGTGAGCATTGCAAAATATCGGGTCGGTGAAGCCTGGTGCAATCCGCTGGCTTACGACAAATCGCGGAAGCGGGGCCAACCCGCGGACAGGATTTGCTCCGAGGACTACTTGCCACTTAAAATGTGCAACAGAGTTCTGGGTGTGATGGACAAGGGCTGGACTAAGACGGGCGGTCGCCCATTCAACCTGACCATGACCGAGCAAGACGTTGCTCCACGACCGTACCTCACACAGACAGTCCTCATGATAAACGCCCAGGAAGACGAGGTCATGCCTGAGGCGGGGCCACCCGCAGGAGCGGGGACACCCGCGGCAGACACCTCGGATGGTTCATGGCAGCAAGTGGTCACGCCAGTAGCCGCAGTAGCATCTCCTTGGAGGCCGGGCCAGCAGACATGGGTCCAGGCCCTCAACAGCTACGTGTCACCGTGTCACCAGCCGAAGTTTCTGGACTGACCGATCAGCTATACCGTGCTGACCCGTGGGCAGTGCATGCAGGTATCCAAGACGCACAGCAGAGGAACCTGCGTACTCCTGCGGGGCCACCAGGCGCCCTAGGACCACAGCCACAACGCCCTCCGCAGCAGGCAGGAGGTGCGAGGTTTGTCCCTATGGGCGGCTCCGATGGTGGCTCGCCGTTCCGGACCCCGCCGTCTGAAACGAGCGAGAACAGCTTGTGGCAAAGACTCCAGGCGATTCGCGGAAATCCAGCACTCGCGGCAGCACTCCAAGCAACCACTCCCTTTGGCACTCCGAGGGGTAGTGAAGGAGGAGCGGCTGCGGGGTCACCCGCTGGGCGAACGCCTGCGGAGCCACCCGCTCAAGCGGGGTCACCCGCTGACGGACAGCAAGGTTCAGACTACGAACGTCGGGCAGCTAACTTAAGAGCACAGGCTACTTTTCTGCAACAACAAGCTGAAAGAGTGCCCAGCCTGTTGCGGAACCGCAACATAGACGTCACAAGCCATGGCGACTTCCGACCTCTCTGGAGTTGGACTTCTGAAGATGCTCCAAACGCTGATCCCACGAATCCGTATCGTCAGGTGTTTATTCCAGGAATAGCATCACACCCGATATACGGATGGGACAATCACGGTCCAGCAGAGGCGCCGGCCATGGACGCGCCGATGTACCCTGAGTACTACGCGCGGATAAATGACACTCCTATGATTGCGGGGCCACCTGCGAACGAATACACTCGGAATTTAGCTAATGAGATGTTTCGTTTGCAGTTTACACGAGCGGTCGATGCGCAGTCTATGCCACACTACGCCTACATGCCCACGCCGACGGACCCCGAGACCATAGTCCAGCCAGCTGGTCTCGCGGTGCCAGCCGCTATGGGCAGCATGCCAGACTACATCCGCGACGTGCACAACACGCAGCAAGCGATACTGGCATCCAGGCAGCAGGCTCGTGACAACACTAGGCTGCGCCAACAACGCGCGATCCAGAGAAGGATTGAGCGCGAGGCCCAAGCGGGGCCACCCGCGGAAGCGGGGCCACCTGCTGAACGGCCAGAAAGGCGGCCGCCACCGACGCCATATCGGGAGGGCGAAACCACGTTCGAGCGCCAAGTTCGGACTCGCCCTGACATGCCTGCTCCAGTCATCTCAGACTACAATTTCACTCAGTGCCCAATCTGCATGGACAACTACGAGATGGGCACTACAGTGTGGAGACTGGCGTGCGGGCACTTCTTCCACGACATATGCTGGGACCGTGTTGCACAGCAGCATGTCCGCAATCAGCGGCCAGGTGCGCCGAATGAGGCCCCCTGTGCCGTATGCCGTGGACCGGGCATAGTGATAGCACACTTCCCGTATGCTGGACAGCGCGATGCGGAGTCGGACCAAGCGCGCCAGCAGGAGAGGTACGTTGCAGATGCCCGCGAGATGCGTCGGTTACGCGAAGCAGTGGAGGCACTGGAGGCTCGAGCCGCACGATCGGCGGAGCCATCCGCACGTGCCCCAGCTGCACAGGCATACCCCTGGCCAGCGCCAGAACAAGGCATTCAGATGCCGGTCTTGCCCACGCTCCGAGCGCAAGAGCCCCCAGCTGCGGGGCCACCCGCTGAAGCGGCTCCCGCCGCTCAAGCGGGCCCACCGCTAACGGACCTCCAAACCCAGGTTTCTTGAGGAACATGGAGGCTGACATCAGGCGGAGTGGCAAAAGCGGAGGCGGGATTCGGAGGCCAACTGGATCGACCAGGACCTCTCGAGTGGCAAGCCCGGTCAGCGCCAGAAGCCGGGCAAGCGCTGAGAGCGCAGAGGCAGCCCAGTTCCATTCCACATTCATGATCGACACAGAGGGGCTGACCTACGTGCGTGACGCTACTGACACGCTGCCACCAAGAGGCGAACGGATGTCCACGCTATCTGCAAACTATTGGGTCCTCCAGCAGGAACCGATTACTGTGGGGGAGCGCCGCCAGTACGAGCAGATGTGGTGCACCGAGCTGACCATGACTCAATGGTTTCTTGAACAGCGCCTGTTGAGGGGTACACTAGGATCGCAGATCACGTACCACACCAACGACCACACTGGCGTACAGGTCGCTCTTGCAGCGCGCAATGGGACATTCTTTCCTGATGAAGATGGTATGCCCTGTATCTCGTTCATGCTGGACATTGGTTCTAATGTGAACATCATTGGATCCAACACGGCGCGGACCTTCCAGGAGATAATGGCCAGGTTCAACTACCGACCTGCCATCTGCACCCTGAGCAAGACCCTCTACATCAATGGTGTTGGGGAGGGCGCTGCGATATGTCGGAAGATGGGCAACTTCAAGATCGGGGTACAGTACGCCAACGAGGCGAGCCCCCGCATTGAGGAGTATGCCTCCAACATCGCAGAAGGCTCGGGCGCCAATCTCCCGGCTATCTGGGGCCTAGGGGCCATGGAGGCACGTGATACGATCATCGTGTTGAAGCCGGGCTACCAGAAGGTCATCTTCCCCAGCGGCGACTACACCCTGAAGCTGGGAAGAGGCGCCAAGGTCCTGAAGGCGAAGAAGACTCCCTCGGGACATCTCGCGATTCCCTGCGGGCTGCACGATGGGGCCAAGAGCCACGCGGTCACGAACACCATCACGATCCGCAGCAGTCGAGATGGCTACACCGAGACGGAGAACGAAGAGGACCCCGCCAGTGCGGGGCCACCCGCTGACGCGTCAGCGGGGCCACCCGCGACGGGACAGTTCGCCAATCCGAATAGGCACGAGGACTTCGTTCGTACATCTACCAACAGCTGGACATCGACTTTCACGACCGATACGTACATCGTCGAGCCGTATATCGACAAGCAGCTCCTGGAGGACACGACCCGTTTGATCGTGAACAGGACGCTGAACAGCTGGTGGGAGGGCCGACAGTGTCCCGAAGGGACTTGGCACCCACCTCCTGAGAACGCGGCGATGATACGGCCACACATGAAGGCCGCCCTGAAGTCCAAGATCTTCTGGGCAGTCCAGGAGGCGGTGAGCAAATGGACGCCTGAGGAGTTTACCCCTCTGCATCCAGCGGGGCCACCCGCGTCACCGCCACCACCACCAAGCTACACGGGCGGAGGTTCGTCGGACTCTGCGGGGCCAACCCGCCTGCTGTCGTCTGAGGACGTCCGCGGGATGACGAATCGCGAGCTGATGGACACTCTCGAAGCCATCACCCAGCGAGGTGAGAGAGCGGAGATCGTGGGTCACGCTACGGATCGGACGGAATACTTTGACATCTCTGAGAACAACCCGCCGAGTCTGTCTGCGAGCGTGGCCACACCAGCGACTCCTGCGGAGCCATCCGCGAACAGCACGCCTCCGAGTCAAGCGGCAACTTGGTCTCACGACAGCCGCTGACGGGGGCAGGCGGGCGCGCCGGCGGCGCTCGCTTGCGAAGAGAAGCCGAATACCGGCCTCCTCGCTACATACGTTGGCCGCGCTGAGGCCCGAGAGGAAAAATATCATTCAAAATGTCTCGTCATCGAAGATATTCGCACAGCTTGCGCTGAACTCCGAACCCGTGGCTATATCTGTGACCGGATTACCCATAATGAGGTAATGACTTCAACTGGAACACAGTATTTGGGAAACTTGTTGGCAGGAGACTATAATATGTTGTGGGTGGCCACGCCCTCTGATTGGTACGTTCGTACTCCAGGAAAGAGGGCGGGACCCCACTATCAACGTATACAAAATCTCCTGATCAAAGCGCGTGCTCTGAGAATGCAGATTGTCATCCTGGGGCCACCCGGGTATTTCTGGAAACAGGGTCCGATCAAAGATGTTATCGAAGATTTGAAGCTGAGCATCATACGAATGAGACTTTGTCATTTCGGTATCAAGTTTGATCGCTCCAGTAAATATCCCAGTGGTTCTTATATACAAGTTGCTACATCTTGTCCTCATATACCGCTAAACTTATGGAGATGTACTTGTGGCTCACACAAAGAACATGATTTGGATTGGTATGGCCAAGATCAGCAACGTGCCGAGTTCCGGCATAAAACCTTGGCTATCATCACTGCACGCTTCCTTGATCAACTCAATAAAG